CTGCGTATTTACAGAGATACATTCTATTGGTTGATCTGTTCGATCTGGCTGAAGTTGTGACAATCACTGAGCATATCAGGAGGCTGTCTCAGAATATCTTGAAGTTTTTTCTGCCGAAGAACCCTCTGACGAGGGACGCCACGGCGCTCAGAAGTCATCTTAATCACCTCCGTAAACATGGGCTGATCTATGATTTATTGGATATCTTCTATGAGGGGTGCGAATGCGGTCGCGCTTATTTAATGAAAAAATTGGATAAGATAATCCACGTCTCAGCATGATCGCCGAATTACTCTCACCTAATTTTTTCATGAGATTTTTCCAGGAGGTTCCAGACAATTCTGACATTAGATTGCATATATCAAAATGAGATGACAATATCGATTTCACAACGCAAGGAGAACTTTTGTGTTAGCTTCGGCAGAAAGCGAGATGTCATAGACGGAGGCTGGAGTGAAACTCCAGCGGGGGCGGGGGCGCCTCCCGCTGTCTTACCATGGGACTGTGTGGTGGTGTCTCTTCTGTTGTCTTCCTTGGCTCAACAATACACTCATCCTCTTGCCATTTCCTTTCCCTTTCTATACCTATCATAGATACTCACTAGTTTTATAACAAAATAGGAGATTAGGATGTTTTGGATTTAGATTTGGTCGTGGTGATACAACCGCTCCAGATGGTAAGGTTAACCACCATCCGTTACTAGTACACACTGAAAGTGAGGCCTACTGTCTCCTAATAACCCATTTCAGAATCAAACTCAAAACAAGTTAGATCACTGACAAGGTGAAACCAAAATGTTTCAGTATTATTACATACTGTGTTTTTCTCTCTTTTTATGAAACGTGGATACCAGGCTGACAAGGAAGAGACTCAACAAAGGCTTACTTTTCCTGTCAGGCTGAATTTGATTTACCAAATCGTCGGGTTCTGTCCAAATCTTTTCTAGCTTAGATCTAGCAACTTTTTTCTCTGAGGTTGGTAGAGCCTATCGCCATCACATGATATGAAGGCAGTGTCCGAACTGTTTCCATACATTTTTGTCACTTTGATATCGTAGCCTAGTAGACTTGATAATCTTGTTCGGTGAACATTAAGGGAAGATTTCGTCAGAACGTACTCGTACAATAAAAAACTGTTGATCGTCTCGATATACATCTTTTCTGAATTTTCTGAGTTCCAAAAAGTTCGTACAGGATAGATCTTACAAATTGCACAATAATTTCAAAACTAGGTTATTATTCTTAGTTGTTCTAGAAACTGTATTTTGTAGTGAGATCGAATTTTGCTAATGCCAAGTATTACATATGTCTTCATTATTTTGAAATGCAAGAACTTCACAAATATGTTCTGGAGTCTTTCTAATCGTAATTTACTATGAACAAATGCATCCCTACTAATATTATGAATGCGAATGTAAGTTTGCTTGTTGGTTTCACGCAAAAACTACTCAACTGATCATCATGAAATTTTGTACACATGTTCCTGGAGGTATTAGAAGTAACGTAGGATACTTTTTATTGAAAGAAACAATTATTTTTTATGTGAGATGAACATTTTTTGGCAAAAAAATCTCAAAATATAGCTACTCTACCGTCATCTAGCATTTCAATAATGAAGTTTCAATCCTTTGTACTGTAATACTGTCGCACTGTACTATTCACAGTCACGACAATATCCAATCCAATTCAATCCAATTGACTATAGTTTCAGCTGTTTCAAATTTTTCTATATTTATTGTTATTTTCTTCTGTCCCGCGAGCGAACTTGCGGGTAAAAGCTAGTAGTAAATAGATTTGATTACTGCCTCGTTGTTGAAGTCTTTGCATATTCTGCAGAAATCCCCAGGTTTTGCTGCAGGAATTCATTACATAATCCAAATGATGATACAAAGTCATCTTTGTATCAAAATTGATTCCAAGATCTTTAATTTGGTCTACTTTGTTGATAATATTATTGCCCAGGGAGTATTGAAAATGTATCGGTATGTTGTTTCTGCAAAAAGATATACATGCACATTTATCAATATTAAGTTTTAATTTATTGAGGTAACAGTATTCTGAAAAAGCATTGAGGTCTTCCTGAATCTTTGAGCAATCTCTAATCGTTGTTACTTTTCTGAAGATTTTTAAGGCATCAGCTTGTGAATGCTTGAAGCAATCTTTCAAATCATTTATGAATACTAAAAACATTAATGGACCCAGATGTAAACCTTGAGGGACTCCCGAGGTTACCAGAGCCTTAATCTGTTTCTTGCAATGGCATACGGCAATTATACTAAACAGCTGAGAAAAAATGATATTAGAATACATAGAATCACAACCTTGACAACAATGTTTTCTTTTCAATGCAATAGTGATTCTGAGAATTCAGTGCCTACTTTTATGGAATTTACTTAAGTAGTACGACATATGAAAAGATAAAAAAAGTAAATTTTTTTCCGTTCCAGAGTCACCTTATTTCAGAATTTTCAGGTTCAGTTCTCGTCATTTTCTACGACGAAAAATTTATATCTGAAAAAATAAAAAATACCTAATACAACCAAAGTATAGAAAATGTATATTGATGAAAATTATCAGGAATTCAAACATGTTATGGATGATCGGGAACTACCAATGTCAGCCTATTGATGTAAAGTTAGCCACAGTTTCCTGGCCACACTTTCTGATGTGAAAATTGTATGCGAGATTGAGGAGCACACGCGGGCGGTGTTGTCAGATTTTCTACTTTCTCAGTTACTGATGATTGAAATCCTTACAGTGTGTAAATCCTACGAAAAGACCATGTTTTCAATACAATGCTACACATAAAGTCATTCTCTACTACTATAAATCCTTGAGGAGACTATCGGTAATCTACATAAAATTATTCGATTGTCAAAAATTCTTATTTTTCACAAAAAGGAAGACGCATGAAAGATTTTATATACTGGGTCAAAACAATTTTTTTCACTGTAATAAGCGAGGAAAAAATAATGTCCAGCAAGACTTCAAGTAAATTAGCCTAATTATTTCGATTGCCAAAAATTATTGAGCTTTGTGGAAAGGAGATTGAATCAACACTCGGTGTTTGATTTACTTAAATCGTCTCATGAATGAAATAGTTATACCAGTCTGCAGAATCACTTCAAACATTGTTGAAAAGAACTATGAAAATAATGTCTAGTTGATTGGGTTCAATAGTATTTTATACAGGGTGACAGTAAGAACGGTAGAAGTAGAAGAAAATGTGCTGGCCATGATATAAGAAGATTCAGGTTCCTCTACTCGAAAAATCGCAAATATTTCAAATGTAAGTAACGGTACGATTTGGAACATTCTCAAAAACTATTTGTTGTACCCATACCACATAAAACCAGTTCTTGCAGATTTTTTTCCACGTATTGCATTCTGTCAATGGCTTTTGCGCATATTGGTTCAAATCCCTCAACTACTGACGCTCATTCTTTTTACCGAGGAAGCCAGTTCAAAAAAAAATTTCATAAGGAATTTTCACAATAATCATGTTTGGTCTGAAGAAAATCCACATGGGGTGCTTGAAAATCGCTTTCAACATCAGTTCTCGTTGAATTTTTGGATGAGAATTGTAGTTGACTTCTTAATTGGACCGGTATTGCTGCCAAGAAGACTTATCGGCGAGGTATACCGCAACTTTTTGGAACAAACGCTACCTCAGTGTCTGCAGGATGTACCATTGGTTACAAGAAATGCAATGCGGTTTATGCACAATGGTGCACCAGATCATTTTAACATATTGACTCGAGAGTTTTCAATAGTAACATCCGAAGATCGCTGGATTGGGCGAGGTGGACCTCCCTTATGGCCTGCTCGATCACCGGACTTGAACCCCCTGGATTATTAACTATGGAGCCACCTAAAGTCATGAATTTATACTACTTCAGTGAAAAATGCGGGAGTTTTGAGAAATCTGGTGATTGCTGGGTGTAATGCATTCAGAAACAACCCTGGTGTTTTTGAAAGAGTTCGGGAGTCGATGAGGAGAAGACTGAATTTTTGAATTATAGCGTGGGTAGTCATTTTGAACAGTTCTTGTAGATTGAGAAACATTACATGTAATTTTTGGTAATAAATTGTTGTTATCGAAATTTTTTGTCGCTTCATATCTTAGAAACAAAACGCCCAATCGAAAATCATCACGAGACAAAATATCCTTAGAATAGTCCAAGGAATAGTCCCTTAATTTTTTTGCCGCATGTTTATTAAACACGCTGTATATCAACTATATCTGAAAATATTTTGCTGCTAGAAATCTGAGACAACCCCCTAAAAAATTAAATTCACGCGACCGAAATCGCCGTACCTACTGCATATGAGCTGTTCTATAATATACGAAAAGAATACATGACCATTGCACATTATTTTTCTATCCACATGTTTATTTGGCACAATTAGACGATTGAAAACATGATTACTGAAACCACGCTGTTCAGAAGGCTTCTGTTATATTTGTTCACTTTTGCAATAGTTTATCAATTGTTTCCACTCATTGTGGACTCATTGTACGTTTTCAGTAATTGAGCCTTTCGATTTTTAAATTATGAATAAAACGTACATCTTTCTCATCAAAAGCAACGTATTGTGGATAAAAAACAACTAATTCAAGTTGACAAACATATCTTCCTTTCCTTGTTAGATTACAGTAGGTACTTCAGTAGAAAAAGTAAAACACATGTGATGGAATTGGCATATACTTAATGAAAATTCAAGTAACCTTTTATTGTGAGATTTTCACTAAACATATCATAAAACCGCAAGCTATTGTGTAGCGTAGTGTTGAGGTTTAGTAAACTGTTTAGTGAAAACCTGATAATAAATTGTTATTTGAATAATGTAAAATACAATAAGGAATGTGCGATGACTTAGCTCAGCTTATGAAAATACTTACGAATATTTCGAGTAATCTATAATTATTGACTCATTTATGGAATGTTATCAAATAGTGATATAAAAACTTTTTTCAGGATTTCTGACGTTGGATGTTTTCCTATTCGCTGTCAAATAATCCCGTTAACTACTTTTGGAATATCCATTTTTGTCTGCAGCTATTTTTTCATCAACTCGGTAAGAGAAATATGTATCTATTCTCCTTGTGATATAACTGACAATGACATCGAACAAGTTATAAGAAAACACAATTTTTTGACTTACAGCGTTTGAGATGATCTGATAAAGATTGATGAATCAGAGGTGAATTATATGATGGAATCGGCCTATACTTGATGAAAATTTATAACGTTTTCAAAAACACTTTATTGTGAGATTATCATAGTATCTGAAAGTTACTTCTTTGTATCATCATTTTTTTGTATCAGATGGAGTAGTAAAAAGCCAAAAACTTCCCCAAAAATCAATCACTCCTAAAAATATAACCCTTTCAAATCATATATTTATTCTTTCTTGTGCTATAACTGATAATGAAATGGATTAAGTTATATGAAAACACATCTGATAAAGATTGATGAATCAAAGGTGAATTATGTGATGGAATTGGCCAATACTTGATGAAAATCAATAACGTTTTCAAGAAACAGTTTATTGTGAGATTTTCACTGAAAAGTACTACAAAAACGCAACACGTGTTTCGCTTCACAATAGCTTCTTCAGGAGTGTCTGTATTATAGTATAGACCTGTCTATACAGGCGTGTCCATAGTATAGTATAGACACGCCTGTAGGAATTGTATGTTTCCATCTATCGACGTGTGTAATGAAGTCTCTTTAATATCCAAAGTATCGACAATTCATTCTCCAGACGTACTAGTAGCCAAAGTGTATTCTAAATTGGAAATTGGAAATTTGTCATCTTCCAGAGTACACTTGATAGTGAATTTATAACCAGCGCAAGAACAGACAATTACTATGATCTCTCTTTGATATGATGCCGATTTCTAGACGTTCAATCTTTTTTCATATTTCTTCTGAATCGTGTTTGGTATTTCTATCGGTGAATGGTGAATTGGTTTTGTACTATCATTCAGGAATATAATTTTGATTTCAATTTTGACCACAGTAGAATCGAAAACTTCTGCATAATCATTCTTCAAGCTTCTGATAGTACATTTTTCAGTTCACCAGGTACATACAAAACTCGATTCTTGAACTTGATTCGTTATGAAAATGGTGTATATTGATTTTCTCTATCCATTTTCTACCAACCATAGCTTTCACCTTTGTATGAAAAAGTTTAAAGTTTGAATTTTTTTTTGTGTTCCATACACCAGTAAAATATTTCACTAATTGAGCAATTTCGCCTATAAGAATTTTCGATGGCAATGTGAATGAAAAAATACGTTCTTGAGGAAAATAACCTTGACATCATTATGTAACAGTAGAAATGAATGCACCCATCTTGAACTCCATATGCACCGGCTATAACATCTATTTTCAGCTGTACCATAATTTCTTCTGTTTTTTGTAATGTGATTGCTTTTGAGAATATTATTTGGCGTACATCTAGAAATTTTTTTAGGTGAAATCAAGTTTGAGTAGAGCCTTGATGATGACAGCACGACCAGCTGTCCAAAGCGCTCGCATATAATTAAATAGGAGTTATAAAGCTTCAAATTCTTTTTGTGACATA